ACCCTAATCAGACACACCTGAACAAGCTAATCAATGTCTTCAGGATTACTAAGGCTATAGGCAGGTGAGTTTTTTTTTCAGGGTTGGAGCTGAACTCTGCAGGACTGCGGCTCTCTAGGACCGAACTTGCCTACCCCTGAACTAGTAAATTGCTTAAAAAAAACTAATAGCTTTAACAAAAAGACAAAAAAATGTTGGACAGCTGCAAACAATCAGTGAACTAATTAGGGTTACTTCTGAACCTTTATTGCAAGCGGATTCAACAGATTCAAAGCAATCCAGCTGTGTCCATTTTGTTATGTGTACCTGTTTGTCTCCTCTGTAAATGTCTTCTGCCCTGTGAGAAGCTGGACTGACTGTGTTCTCCATCAGATGGATTCTGACTAACACCTGCTGTTGTCATGTCATTATCTGCAGCTGCAAAACACACAAAGTAGTTAAATTACAACTAGTAACTAATATATATATATATATATATATTAAAATTGACAAGTTTACATATTTAAAATTGTATTTGAATTTTATTGTAAGAATTAAATTGATTTAACTAGTACAGGGGTAGGCAAGTTCGGTCCTAGAGAGCCGCAGTCCTGCAGAGTTCAGCCAGCCTGTAAATGTCTTCTGCCCTGTGAGAAGCTGGACTGACTGTGTTCTCCATCAGATGGATTCTGACTAACACCTGCTGTTGTCATGTCATTATCTGCAGCTGCAAAACACACAAAGTAGTTAAATTACAAACCTTCTTCTAAATTAAAGCACAAACAAACTTCAAAAGCAACTACTGTACCTGTTGTGCTCCCAAGCTTAAAACTGACATCTTCATTTTCTAAGAGATGAAACTGGGTGCTAGCAGATCCAAACATGGGATCTTTGTCACTGAGCATGTTCTTCAGTGAATCTTCGGGTTGGCCGTGACCTGCTTCAAACTCATCACTAGCTTCACATTCCAGGTTCTGTCCGAGCAGTAAGGAATCATCCAACTGGTCACTGGGAACCAGATGATTGAATGGGCCACCAACTATATCCATGAATGCCTGCACTGTATGGTTTGCTCTGGAAAAGTAAAACAGGTAATTGTTTTAAATGTATCTTGAACACTGCATTATCTTCTAATGTTGAGTACTTTGACAAATAAGTTGGATTGATGACTAACTCCACATATATGCTCATTGCTTTGCTTCTGTCCAAAAAAAAAAAAAAAAGAATCTTACAGTTTCTCATACTTTATAAAATGTTTGGCATTAAAGCAAAATGAATGGCAAACCATACACAGACATAGGGTAGACAGGGGCTAGTTGTCACTGGGGCTGTATCTCAGTAACTACCAGCTTTCAATTCCAAAGTCCAATTGCAAAAAAAGTTTGTTTACTCTAACAGTGGGTTTTGAATGTTGTAGGCAACAGTGTTCAATAGATTTGGCAATATAACATTAAAACGTTGTTGTTGTTGTTTTGGAGCCACGACTTAAGATATGTTCTTAACCAAATTAAGCTTTAGAGAGTTTTAACACTTTATTTTAAGGTCTCGTTGTTACAGTGTAACTATACAAATAAATACTGGGTAATATATTAATTAACTACATGTACTTACTATATGGTTAGGGTTTGGATTATGGTTCAGTTTAGGGTTACTTGCATGTAATTAATTGTTATAATAGTAGGTACATGTAACGTGTAACAAGGACACCGTAAAATAAAGCGTTACAAGGCATTCCTTTTTTCAGCTCCATTACGACTGGAAATAAACTTTTATTCATTTTAAATGCCATAAAACTTGAAGCAACTTTACGAAATCAACATCAAGTTATGTGCCTATACATACGTTCAAAAAAACTACTCTAGGAAATATTCATTTAAATAAAAAGTGACTAGCCCCGCTCTCCCCTACTTGTAATAACACAGCTACAGAAATGTTTGACAAATGAATTAGAACAGTAAGTAAAGCATCAGGTGTCAAACTGCACAAGTGCATTACAGACAACAAACACACTGCAAAAAAAAAAAGTTTTAATTGTTTCAAGTGTTAAATGAAACATTTCGCTTTCAGTGTTTTTATTTTGGCTCCAGATCGGCTCACGTGCACAGACAGCTAGCGCATGCGGCCCCCTAGCAGGTCACACATTCATTGACTCTCTCCGAGCAGAAAAGGCAGCTTTAAAAAACGGCGTTAGTGTTTGCAAAAGATGCATTCGTCGTTTAAGCAAAGCACGGCATTAAAAAAAAGCCTCACAAAACAAACACACCACCAAACGCTTCCGCGGGCCTTTACCAACCAGCCTGCGTGTATTCCACCCGCTCACCAGACCGAATCAAACTCACTTTTATCAACAACAAGCGTTCGACACCGCCTCCCAAATGTGCATATATAGTTAGCGGCACATTCGACGCAGTTTTTGCACAAACTCGTCTCGAGTCGCGTCGCGTGCACCGCAGGAAGGCCTCGCGCTAAACGAAATGAGAGCGTGCACGCCCACTCCGCGCGAGACGCTAGATAAAACACTCACCGCGTTTCTCACTGTGATCGAAGAGCCAGCGCATAATGGGAGAAGGACTTGTATTATCGCTTACGTTGTTGGGACGCCATATGGGTTGCCGTTGTCGTTAATGCCACAACCTTTTCCGCTTGAGAACTGTGATAGGACACAAGTAGTACTTCCTGTTGACCCTCTGAGCCAGCAAACAACTCGTGACGCGCTGGATCCGTCGGCAGGGGGCAGTGTGTGATCTAGCTCTAGTCAGTGCTTTACTGGTAGAAGCTAAAGTGTATGGCCCACAGTCTCAAAACCTTTCTCCACAGTCTACCCAATCTCCAATCTACTATGGTATGGCCAAAGCATTTGCAGGATAGTATTTCAACAAATAATAATAAAGTTATAGTACGTGAAATTGAAAGATAAGCAAACAAACAATTGTATGTTTAAAGAAATAATTGCATGAATTTATTTAAGTAATATTAGTAATTATTTGAAGTAATAAAGTAACATAATTTCCCACTTTATATTTGTATATAATTTCATATTAATATCCGATGTTTGTCTAAAGTTCCCCTCTGTTTGTTTGTGGTTTTGGTTTCCTTTCTTGAAAAGCATCCTCCCACTGAGCTATCAATGCGAACGACCCAGAGTTTAGAACAAATTAAGAATATCCAGTTCGTGTGCTTTAGCAGAGTCCAAGATGGATCCCTGTAAGTATCTTCTAATATAAATGTATAAACTTAAATGTTGTTTATCAAAAATTGACAAACAAACAGTTTACTTGATTTTTTTTCCAACCTCTAGTTACTCTTATGCATCTGGTGCAGCAGCAGGTAAAAAAAAATAAACTCTATTAACAGTTTAACAATAAAACTGGTTTATGGCCTTTCACCTGGGATAATTGATGTCTTTAGGTGCTGCTGGAATCCCTTCGTCAGGTCAAGCCATCATGGGGGCTGTGGGAGCCACTGAGGGTGCTGCTGCCAGCATGGCTAACAAATGTGCTTTGTAACCGTTTCAAATCTGTGCATTAATGCGTTTATCAAATATCTCTTATTATTTTCCTACTGTGATCTAAGTGATTAACATCACATTGGAATGTCTGTATCAGCAGTTTAGTGTGTGGAAGGTGCTTATAAAATGAAAAAAACAAATTGTCTCTTTCTGTTCTTTCTTTAGTTGTCATAATCTAATTGCGTGTAATTCAATGTGATTCATCACGGGATAACGCACTTAATCTGTCATTGGGGAGTTTTCTCAGATTTCCACACTGGATAAATACTCTGTATTCAAGAAACTTAAATTTATATAAATTGATAGGATTACTGAGGTTACTTATTAAAGTTCTTCCGGGAGCTTATAGGTTCCGTGTTATAAGTTTCTCATATAAATGATAGCCTGAGAGGTTCTCCAAATGATTCCACTAGTGTGGTTATGAGGTTAGAATGATTATGAAGAGATTAAGCCTATTAATCCATTTAAATCACTTGTGTAAATTTATTTTAACATTTGTTTATCACTGACTTACAAACAAGATTGCAGGGTCACCTTCACCTTGTGTCACCTATCTGCAATATAATAACAACAAAAGGGATGCAATTTGTTCTGTACCCTGACTTTATGCACATTATTTACAGATTTGTTGTGTATTTCTATGTCAGTATATGGCCGTTTTCTTCCATCTTCTCTATTATAATACAGCCATCTGACCAGAACGCAGGTTATGTGACATACTCGGTAAGTTTACAGATAAGTAAACAAATACCGTAGCTTTTGTTTCCAAAAAAATGACGTAACAGAATGTAAGCAGCTTTAGCAAATTACTCTCTGAACATAACCTGCTATGGAGGGTTAGTTTAGTACAGGTTAATGCTTCTCAGCTTCAAACAAGAACAATAAAGTATTAGTGGAAGAGTGGGGATGGTTGCAACATGACTCCCTCCTTCAATCAGAAACGAGTTACAGTGATGATATTCATACTGCTCATGCACAACTAGCCCCTCATCCTACAAGAAAGCAGCCACATGTGACCATTCCTTCTGCAAAAAAATAAAAAATAGTATATCTGACATTTTTTCTTTCAAATGACGATTTTTATCAGGCTTCAATGTTTAGGTTCAATAATTTCACTTTAATGACAATAAAAAGGTTATTAGTCAGTTATTGGGATGCCTTTTTGGGACACTGAACGAGGAACTAATGACTTTTGTTTGTTTGTTTCTAAGAGTATTGATTGATTTAAGTTTAGCCTATAGTTTCATATATATATATATATATATATATATATATATATAGTTTCATATGATAGTTTCATATAGTGTTTGTTCTTTCTGGATATGGCTTTTTATTGTGTGTGCAGTTGGTGTTGATCTTGATGAAATTGTAGTGATGAATAGTTTCGTTTTCTGAAAAGGATACACCCAAAGACCTTTAAACTCCAACTCTCACACATAAGCAGACAGACAGTCCAAGGCCGTTTCAGTTGACTTAGGATGGATCCCTGTAAGTAGACAGCTAGCCTAGCTGAGAATACTGCAGAATATTTCATATTTATCAATCGCAGACAGTTAACGTATGTTTGTTTTCTTCTAAGGTACAATGATCGCAGCTGGCGCAGGAGCAGGTAAATAAAATGCTAAATGTCTTTTCACTAGATAGAATACATGATTTTCAAGTTTTGCTACATTTTATTAGAATCTAAGCCTCTTTTCCACGGTCGGGCAGAAAGGTTCTAAGAACGGTAAGGAACGGTTCCAATTATGTTTCCACTCGAGCTCGGTTCGGTTCGGTTCGGTTCGGCACGGCACGGCACGGCACGGCACGATCTGAAACTGTCCAGAGTTCTCAGCAGCTGTGCTAAACCGTGTCGGCATGCGTGTGATGCTGCTCAGAATTGATCACTTGTTTGTTGTCTAGTGTCTGGTTTCTCTCTGTAGCTGCCAAAAGTGTTTTTGAGCGAACGCTGTTTACATCTGATAACCTATGTAAACACTTGCGTTACCAAGGCAACGACTGACAGCGTTTGTCCACGGGCTCTGTTATCAGAAACCCACTTGGAACACGAGTGAAACGGTTAAGCAACGAGAACGGTTTGGCCCGACGGTGGAAAAGCGGCTTAAGTTTCAACGCAATGAACTGTTGCAATACACAGGCCAACTGTTTTAAGTGGCTTTTAAATATTTATCCATCTGAACCAGTAAGGTTTTACAAATATGCCATGTTTCCACCAATAGCCGCAGCAGTCGTTGCAGCTCCTGCTGTTCTAGCAGCGGCAGGTTTCACCGCAGCTGGAATTGCTGCGAGTTCTATTGCCTCCTCTTTGATGTCAGCTGCTGCTGTCGCTAACGGAGGAGGGATCGCAGCTGGATCCGTGGTGGCAGCTCTTCAAGCCGCTGGTTTGCCAATATCTCGAAACCTCTGCTATTGCATTCTGTGAATTTCTTCTTTACTCTGTGCGATTTAAAATGAATTGCGATAAAGCGGGCTGTTTGAGCTAGACTGTGGGTTCACACTGGGTTACAGCACATAACTATAGTAGCCTACTTAATTAAAGGGACACTATTTCTTTAAATGCTAAAATAGTTTTGGTTGATGGAATGACACTGGTGACTGTGGCCACACCTAATTATTAAAAGGTAGTAAGCTAAATGTAAGCAAATATGATCAGTTTTGAATCTTATAAATTAATAGGCTATATGTTTTGGGGTTTGTTAAATATGTTGCTAAATATGTTTGTTTAACGTAATAGTAAACAATGTGGGTTAATAATTTATAATTAAAATGCAGGATATCATTTTTGATAAATCAGAGATGGCCCACTTTATCTGAAAAGACATTTGTTTATACGTTTATTGGTAGGCCTATATTGAAATAAATAACACATTATATTTCTGCTGGACTTTAAAGAGATAAAACTATGTGTAATAAAATACAAAAATTTTTTATTTAGGCTATACATAATGCTGCATACATTTGTAATGAATTGTGTACATTAAAGACATTAGGTAACCTACTTCACGAAAATCCACTCTATATTGAATTATTCAGGATCTGTGAATTCAAGTGAAGGCCCTGCATTCATGTATGAATTCTGTTGTGGAAATCTCATTTTGAATGACTGGTTTTTAAATAATTTCATTCGTTTTATCAGGTGCGGCTGGAATCCCTGTTGCAGCTCAGGCTGTCATAGGTGCCATAGGCGGCACTGTGGGGGCAGCTGTGGGTGGACCATTGATGTGCAGTGCAGGAGCCACAGGTGAATCCATTATTCTCTTTTGAGTACTGATTTGGTTTTTGTTTTTAGTTTTATTTTTCATTATAATTAAGGTTTAATTCTCTTCACTGTATAAGTGCTGTTTAACACTGGCAAAAGCTTTGGTTTTAAGTTGAACATCTGTCTATCCAACTAATAAGTAAAATGCTTTATAGTAGCAGTGTCTGTTTCATATGAGGTTTTTTATTTGCTATGGTAGCTCTGGAAACATGTGTGATCAAAACAGGTTCAAACTAATTTTTGTTTTCAAAAATCAGGTGCTGTCGTCGCAAGCGGAGGCATCGTGGGAACTGCCGTGAGCTCAGTTGCCAGGTTAATTGGCAACTGCACTGCGTAAATGCCCCAAAAAGGCCCTTCAGAAAATTTAAGGATTCATAAAGTAAAACGTAGCATTTATCTAATCTACAACCACAAACATGGGCAGTATAAATCTGTTTTTAATATATAATAATAATAATAATAATTATTATTATTATAATAATCTTTCTCTTCTGCTGTAGATTCTGTACTAATCTAGCTTTCTACTTTAAACTTAATGTTTAACTTAACACACCACACACATTGTTTGCTTCTATGAATTATTGCTTGTGATGTCTGTATAAAAACATCTGCTAAATAGGTCAATGTAATTATAACAAAATTGTCTTGGCTAACATTGTACATGAACTTTATCCTTGGGGGAAAATCTGTAAGATTAAGCTGTTTTAAGTAAGCTGTTTAACACTTGTATTTAATGATTTAAATATATTTTATTATGACTAAGTCTGTGTCTTTCTTTCTTTCTTTTATTTATGTCCCCTAAGGGCAATTGGTTTTACAGCAAGACCAGCATACAAAAAAGACCATTTACAATACATAAAAAAGTACATTAAAAATTACATTAAAAAAAAAAAACACAGGACAACACAAGACCAAACAACTACCTGCTTCCACCTTTACGTCCACCCACATGCCCGAATTTAGCAAAGAGATAGAAGTAGGAATAAATGAATGTTTGTACCTGTTACTCCTAACAGAAGGAAATCTTAACCGAGATCCTGAGGGTAAAAACTGAAACTCAGAGTAGAGAGGATGGGAAGTAACCATTAATATAGTTTGGGCTTTTCTAACTACCTGGCGATTATATAGGTCGGTAGGATGACTCTGCTGAACTCATAAAATCTTACTGCTAGTGTTAACTATTTTCACCAATGCAGTCTTTGCCTTAGACTGCCATACCAGCATAACATAGCAAATGCTAAAACAGACTCAATATAAGATTTGTAAAACAGAGTCATCAGGGATCTATCAACGTTAAATTTGGACAGTCTCCGTAGACAGACGTTGCTGGCCCCTTTTACAAATCTTCTCCACATTGACATTCAAATTCAGCTTGTTATCAATCACACATCCCAAATACTTATATGATTCCACAAACTCAACCTCCTGATCTTTAATAGTGGTTCTCTTTATACCACTTTGATTACGCCTAAAATCAATATGCATGTCTTTAGTTTTTAAATCACACCACTGAACAAAATCATCTACCACGAGGCCATGGTCATTTTCATCAGCATGGAAGAGGCTGACAATAGCTGAATCATCTGCATATTTTACAATAAATCTATTCTCATGCCTACTCCTGCGATTGTCAGTGTATAAAATATACAGGAGTGGAGAAAGCACACATCCCTGAGGGGACCCTGTGGATGAAGACAGTACCTCAGACAAACACCCATTTACCCTTACTCTCTGAATTCGATCAGTTAGAAAGTCAAGGATCCAACCAATGATACAAAAATCAAAACCAAAGCTCAAAAGTTAATTTCTCTACTAAAATGTGAGGTTGAATCGTATTAAAAGCGGATGAGAAATCAACGAATACAATTCTAGCATGAGTCTTAGTTCCCTCTAAATGCTTAAGTACCAAATTCAACAAGGTGGCCGTAGCATCCTCTACCTGAATCTCAACCTGTTGGCGTACCAGACCCCAGTCCAATTCAGAACCATCCTCAAGGACCCCCAGAACAAAATTTACTCATCTATGTATCATTTGTGTCTTTGTGAGGACCAACTGCAGTCAAGTATAATTCAAGTTAGTTGACCATATCATCAGCTATATTGGATTTTTCTTTCATGGGAACATGTCATGTCAAAATATACAACATTTATACAAAAATTCATACTTTATATGGACCCCCTGGCCTTACGTCAAGGACCACTAGGGGTCCACGGACCCCAGTTGAGAAACACCCCACGACTGGCCCTCTAAGCAAACCGAAGAGGATCGAGTGAATCTTCTACCATTCTAAGGAGCTCTTTTTTCAACAATCTCTCAAAACTCTTCATTATTAAAAGGGTCAGCACAACTGGCCTAAAATCATATAGTTCTACTGGATGATTATTTTTAGCCACTGGGATGACTGTAGAAGATTTCCATAATCTCGGCACCTTCTGTTGAGTAAGGGACAGTTGAAAAATAAAATAATAAATAGTTCCCAATTGCTCTGCACAGGAGATAAGCAGCCGACCTTCAATATTATCAGGGCCCAAGCTTTTCCCAGCTTTTGAATGTTTAAACATGTTAATAACATCCTGTTCTTCAAACGGGATAGGTCTATTACCAATTAAATTATTTTTCTGCTCACAAAGAATATTCTCAAAATCATGAGTATCAAACCTTGCAAAAAATTAATCGAATGCTTGTGCAAGCTGAAAATTATCTCTATACCCTTCCAATACTAGAATCTCTTTTAGGCTTTGTCCCAGCTATGGTTTTCATGCCATCCCAGACTGAGCCCAAATTACTATTTCTTAACTCCCGTTCTATCTTCTCTTTATAATGCAGCTTTGCCTTATTTATCTCCAATTTCACTTCCTTTTTTAACTGATTCAACGCAGAACGATTTCCTTTCTGAAATGCATGCTGTCTTTCTTTAAGCAGCACCTTGAGTGATTTAGTTATCCATGGTTTGTTATTTGGGTACACCTTTACAGACCTTTCAGGAATAATGTTATCAACACAATAGGACACATAGCAGCTAACAACATCAGTAAGTTCATCTATGTCAGCACATGACTCTTTAAGCATTTCCCAATCAGTGCATTCATAACACCCTTGTAGGGTCGAGATGGAATCTTTAGTCCAGTTCTTAGACTGTCTGATTAAAATGTTCCCCCTCCTTAGGGCTGTACGATATAATGGGACAAGTTGAATACAATTATGGTTATATGCATCCTTTATAGAACCATAACATAAATCTAGAGTCCTGTCATGTCTGGTTGGACATGTGACATATTGGTAAAAGTCTTTCAAGGTCTTATTCAGCAAACAATGGTTAAAATCACCCATAATTAACATTGGTGCATCGGGAGAAATTAAATGGTTACTTGTAGTATACTTTCTGAAGCTTTAGCACTGTTTGCCCTCGGATGAATATAGACAACAGTAACGAATATTTAAGGAAACTCATGTGGCAGGTATGAAAAGCGTAACGATACAGACAGTAATTCAACATCTTGAGTACACAGTCTTTCTCTCACAATGACATTCTTACAGTACCTTTGGTACCTACCTACCAAGGTCATTCTTTGATTGCTTAACATCAAGTAGGCCTACCTTGAATGCATCATAAAAATCATTTTGGATAAATGTAATTGTCAGAATGCTGACAGACTGGTTTTGGATGACAGCCTGAAAGAAACTTATTGAACAAAAGTGTTGGGACACAACTAATTATTGGTGATTCTATTGTCACAGGTGTATAACATCAAGCACCTGCCATGTAGTCAGCATTTACAAACATTTATTGAAAAAAAAAAAAATTTTATTCTGAAGAGCTCAGTGAATTTAAATGTGGTACTGTGATCAGATGCCACCCTTGCAGTAAGTCAGTTTGTGAAATGTCATCCCTGCTAAACATTCCACAGTCAGCTGTAAGTGGTATTAATGGAAAGTAGAAGCCTTTAGGAACAGCAGCAACTCAGTGATGAAGTGGAAGACCACGTAAAGTCACAGAGTGGGTTACTGAGAGCTGAGGCACTGAAGCACATGATGCTTCGAGCCAGCGCTCGGATTCATATCTGAAGAGTTCCAGCTGAGGGTTTGGCAGATACCAGGAGAATGTAACCTGCCTGACTGCATTGTGCCAACTTTAAAGATCGTGAGGGAGGGATATTGGTATTCAGCTTTTTTTTGAAGGGTTGGGCTATGCCATTAAATGTCATTAAATGTGCAATGTCATTAAAGTCCCCATTGGTGTAATGGTCCCAGTCAGCAAACAAATTTGGCCCAGATTTGGCATGCATCTGGCACAGCTGGCATTCATCCGGCACTGGCATACAGCATGTGGGCCAAACATGGCCAGGGTTTGGCAGAGATGGTACCGGGTTTAAGACGGCACACAAGACATGGGCCAGATGTCAAGTGTAGTATTTGGCCCAGATGTCAAATATAGATTACGTATGTATGGCCGATCTTGACCCACATTTAAAATCCATTTCAAATATTTTTGAGTAAAATCCCAATGTTTTCACATACAGAAAAGTTATATATTCACATATATGTGAAACACTGTTAAATATATTGAAATATATTTAGAAAATATATTTTTAAAATGCATAACGTAAAGCTCATGTTGCGTGTTTAATTGTTTACATATATGTGAAATTATATTCATGTCTCATATGATATTATATGATATATGATATTATATCTTATATTATAGAATATCCTGTTGTTATATATAAACTGACTTCAAATAACGTTTGGCATTATTCACTGCTTTCATATTCTCATTCAATTTACAGTTTGATGTAGGCCTACTATCCACTTAAACAATACATGATGAAGTTTCAGGACATTTTATTGGACTTTTATGTACTATTTATGTAAATTCGTAACTTCGATGTGTTTTAATGGGCGCGCGCGTTGAGCATTCAAATCGCATTTAAACTGGAGCTTAAGGAGTTACCATGGAAACGGGGCGTCAACTCACTCAGTTGACAAGTAGCGAGAGTCCGTCTCTCTGCTGTTTTCACTGCTTGCAGGTAAGTTTAGTCCCTAAAATTACACAAATAATACATACAACCGTTCCTTGTCTGGAATCCAGACCTGGTCCACACTAGGACCGTAATTCATTGCGGTATGTTGGCCAAGCAAAAGCTGGTTGTGTGGGCCGGAGCTGGGCCAGAGAAAATTTGCTATGTGGGGTGTAACAATGCTTTAGCCCAGATAGCATGCACATCTCGATGTCTTCTAAATCATCTGGAAAGCATCTGTGTACAAACATTTGATAAACGTATTTGAAAAGTCAATTTTACATACATTATAAATCATAAACATCTTAAAGACATTTTCTAATAAGTCTATTTAAAAATGCCCTAGAGACATATTGCAGAACTCTCTAAAAAAATACGTCTTTTCCAGATGTAAACACGCACATCTAATAGAAGTCTCTATGTATGTGTGCTATCAGGGAGTGTATATCTGGAAAAGCAAAAATTGCCTGTAACATACTTGCTGGAATCCAGACCTGGTCCACACTAGGACCGTAATTCATTGCGGTATGTGGGCCAAGCAAAAGCTGGTTGTGTGGGCCGGAGCTGGGCCAGAGAAAATTTGCTATGTGGGGTGTAACAATGCTTTAGCCCAGATAGCATGCACATCTCGATGTCTTCTAAATCATCTGGAAAGCATCTGTGTACAAACATTTGATAAACGTATTTGAAAAGTCAATTTTACATACATTATAAATCATAAACATCTTAAAGACATTTTCTAATAAGTCTATTTAAAAATGCCCTAGAGACATATTGCAGAACTCTCTAAAAAAATACGTCTTTTCCAGATGTAAACACGCACATCTAATAGAAGTCTCTATGTATGTGTGCTATCAGGGAGTGTATATCTGGAAAAGCAAAAATTGCCTGTAACATACTTGGTTCTTCTGGGAAGCAGTGTAAAAGCACTGTACCATGTTTTAGTTCATGCGAATTTGCAGAAGGAGACTAATGGATGCAACAGGTGAAAGCGTGGGCAAGGTGTCAAAGATTTTTGCCTTTATAGAGTCTTCTGTTGAGCCTTAGTACACTATCTTGGAAGGCTCCAGTGCTTTTGCTGAGTTGAGCTTACTCGAAGGTAATAAAATATGGAGGAAGTGTGTTGTTTTCAGATGTGTTTCGGTTTCCTTTCTCAAAAAGTAGCCGCCCACTAAGTTATTAAGGCAAGCTCTCACATGCAAGAGCATCAGTGCAAAGCAAGAGCATCCTGAGTTTGCTTGCTTTAGTAAAGTCGACTTAAGATGGATCCATGTAAGTATATTCTAATAGAACTGTAGAATTTTAAATGTTTGTTTCTCAACAATTGTTTACTTGTTTTTTCTTTCCCCTAGTTACGCTTATTGGAGCTGGTGTAGGAGCAGGTAAAAATTAAATAGCCTACATTTTTATTGTATTTTCAATCCTATTTTATTTAGTCTAAATCAAGAATATATATATATAAATGTTTTAGTTGCATATTTCAGTGGTCCGTATACAGTAATGTGCTCCAGTGTTTCCACCTGAACTAACCTGCTTATACTGTGATTGCACCAATAGTCTTAACAGTTGCTGCAGCTCCTGCTGTTCTAACAGCGGCAGGTTTCACCACAGCTGGAATTGCTGCAAGTTCTATTGCCTCCTCTTTGATGTCAGCTGCTGCTGTCGCTAACGGAGGAGGGATCGCAGCTGGATCCGTGGTTGCAACTCTTCAAGCCGCTGGTGAGTCACATATCAGGGAAAAAAAACTTCTGGGAAGCAGTGTAAAAGCACTGTACCATGTTTTAGTTCATGCGAATTTGCAGAAGGAGACTAATGGATGCAACAGGTGAAAGCGTGGGCAAGGTGTCAAAGATTTTTGCCTTTATCGAGTCTTCTGTTGAGCCTTAGTACACTATCTTGGAAGGCTCCAGTGCTTTTGCTGAGTTGAGCTTACTCGAAGGTAATAAAATATGGAGGAAGTGTGTTGTTTTCAGATGTGTTTCGGTTTCCTTTCTCAAAAAGTAGCCGCCCACTAAGTTATTAAGGCAAGCTCTCACATGCAAGAGCATCAGTGCAAAGCAAGAGCATCCTGAGTTTGCTTGCTTTAGTAAAGTCGACTTAAGATGGATCCATGTAAGTATATTCTAATAGAACTGTAGAATTTTAAATGTTTGTTTCTCAACAATTGTTTACTTGTTTTTTCTTTCCCCTAGTTACGCTTATTGGAGCTGGTGTAGGAGCAGGTAAAAATTAAATAGCCTACATTTTTATTGTATTTTCAATCCTATTTTATTTAGTCTAAATCAAGAATATATATATATAAATGTTTTAGTTGCATATTTCAGTGGTCCGTATACAGTAATGTGCTCCAGTGTTTCCACCTGAACTAACCTGCTTATACTGTGATTGCACCAATAGTCTTAACAGTTGCTGCAGCTCCTGCTGTTCTAACAGCGGCAGGTTTCACCACAGCTGGAATTGCTGCAAGTTCTATTGCCTCCTCTTTGATGTCAGCTGCTGCTGTCGCTAACGGAGGAGGGATCGCAGCTGGATCCGTGGTTGCAACTCTTCAAGCCGCTGGTGAGTCACATATCAGGGAAAAAAAAACTTTAAATAGTTTAACAACAGTTATTTATGCACAAGGGCAAATACACAAACCCTTCAGCTAACAACTGAATTTATGTCATCAGGTGCTGCTGGAATCCCTTTGGCAGGTCAAGCCATCGTGGGGACTGTGGGAGCCGTGGTGGGTGCCGCTGCCAGTATGGCTAGCAACTGTACTTTGTAACTGGTTCAATTTATTGTATCAGTAACTAGTGCTATATATCAGTGATCAACATCACTTAGAATGTCAGTAGCTCTAGGTTTAGGTGTGTATGAGATCATCTTTTCATATACACCTGCGTTAAGGGTGCTGTTTATAGCACTGACAAAACAAGAAGAATAAAAAACATATGAGCTCTCTCTGTCATTTCTTTAGCTATCATAAACCGATTTTGTGTAATTCACTGTTACATCGAGTTAATCTAACTGTCATTAGGGGAGTTTTGCTGAATAATGAAAAGGGTTTCTCCGATTTCCGCACAAGAGGAACATTCTGCAACCATAGGCACTATTTTTCATGTGGTCAGCAAACTTATATAAGCTATAAGAGAGGTTCTCCGAATGGGTTCTCCACCACATGTTTCCTACAGGGTATGGCTTTCCAAAGGTTTCAAAGGCTTTTGCAAGCACCTTGTGTGTGTTTGCAAATGTATTTGTATGGACCTGCAGTTACAATATGTTTGTAGAGACCTTGTTTAGTAAACCTAATAAACAATTGAAATAATTTGTATAGATGTATTTTGTCTTTTGTTTTAAATTAAAGCTTTGTCTATCTGTATATCTGTCTCACTAAATTACAGGGTTCTTCTATGTAACTTCACAATTACAAATCAATAAGTCATGTTAAATGGGGCTCTAACCTTTCAATATTTTTTAACCTAATTTCTGACTCATATTTAGTTATTAACAAAAATAACTAAGCTAAGTGTGTTTTCAAGTCTGCAATAGAATATGCACATTTTTATATAAGCATGGCTTTATTCACATTACTGACAAATTTTGACAACTGAATGGATGATTTTGCATGTAATGGTTCACATGATGACAGAATGTTTAGAGGTTGTAATGTAAATGTAAATGTAATGCAAATAGTAGAAAATTGTACTTACATGTGCCAAAACACATGCAGTTTACTTAAATTAATAAGAATTTCAAATCTCAATTTCAAAACAAATTGTTAAACTTACTGAGAAAAAAATTTGAGAATTGAGCCGAAGTGATTAAGCAAATTATGTTTACAGCTAGGTTTGTTCAGTATATGTAACTGGTTCAAATCTGTACTTTATTCCGGTTTATCAAATAAAACATTTTTCATTACCTTGTTTCATGTACCTTTTTTTCAATCAATGGCACTTTGACAACTACATTTATTGCTTATTTTACTTTCAGATACATCAGTGTTGGTTAACCTCAGGTATCACATATGTCAGTACCAGGACAATCCATTGACAAATCATTTGCTAATGAAATCACTCTCGAGCATGTACCTGCCTTTGCAGCCAATTTCCAGTATGAAAGGATGCATTACTTGATTACAAACATGATAAATGCTCAAAAGAATTTTAAAAACATCCTTGTACAAATGTAGAGCTATTGTTGTTGTCCTTACATGCTATGTGAAGTTTCCTGCTGCTTCAAACGCTCCACGATCTAACTGTTGTAACCAGTTAAAACAGACAGATTACTAGGTTATTTGCACAAATCATCCAAGCACCCCAATCCCAGCCATTTCTAATATACTTTTGATTAATATGACTAAATATTACATTGTAACTAAATTAAAGATCTGTCTTTGATTGTCAAAATAATTCCAGCTAATTCGATTTCACGTAGCATTTTAATCGGTCAGTCATGAAAGTCTGATTTGTTGATAACTTTTAATCCAGGTGCGAAGAGAATTCATTTCTAGCGCATGAGCAAGGAGAGATTTGCAAGTGCAAAGGACACAGTTTGAGCGCGAGGAGAGATTCGCGATGGCGACGGACACGGACACGTTTTACAGCGCATATCTGAGAGCGCGCGTCCGGTTTTTAGCGCGAGAACAAAGGAAATCCGTGTGCGAGCGGAGAGATTCGCGCTCGCGCATCATAGCAATGTACTTTCGCGCCACAACAGTGCGCTCTCCACATTTGACAGTAAAATAACGCCATACGTAACATTTCCGTCACACGCTTGAGGTATTCAGCCAAGCACAACGCACTGGATAGCTGGCCAATCAGCGTAGCCTACACCTCGCTTTTCAGACCGATGAGCTTTGTAAAAATCGACGCGTTTCAGAAAGGCGGGGCATAGAGGAGAAACAATAATGTACAGTATGTGGAAAATAATGTGTTTTTTGAACCTTAAACCGCATAAACACATTGCATTACACCAAATACACAACATAATGTTCTTTTTAGCAACATCATATGACCCCTTTAAAATGCTTGAGCTCAATGGAAAGCATTTTGTATGTGTCACCAGTATGGGCAATTACAGACGTGGAAAGAAAACAGACTAAATGGCGTTTGTCAGTCTTCTGTCACATAAGATCTAATGCTTAAATGCACATACTAGCAGAACAATAACATTAAGTATTTAGTAATAAGGTAATAATGTCGCAATGCCCTATATAGGCTACCCATACCTGCCCTACCCTCCCCACCCATGAAGGATATGTATACAAAACAAAAGCACATAAATGACACCATGTGTTGATGCAGGCACACTGTAAAATGCGTCAGTGTTTAACAGTGAAAATGAAATGGGGTTCTTTGTTCCCAGATAGCACATACGTCTGCAAAAACTAAGCATTTTAAATCATAACAATGTAAACACGCACATCAAATAGACATCTCTGAGATGCAAATATGCTGGGTTAGCATCCAGCAGGTAGTTTTGCATAGCCTACTCATCATGTTTGCCTGAATGTTTGTTTTGAAAACAATAGCCTCGACCTTCTGTTGCTAAGACAACTTTCTTGAGCGTGCCAGCAAGCTTTTATTTGAATTAGGCTAGTATTACAGATGTCAGACTGTTTTTTTTTTATCTTTCACTTTTTAAAATATTATTTTTATGAATTGCTCGGTGACAGTCATTAATGGAATCATTAGTACATGCTATATAGCATGGTTTTACTTCAATCTTTATCAAATTAATGTGAAAATAACTCTTATGAAAATGTATAACTGGGCTAACCAATAAAAAATGTGCTAGATGTTGTTTTGGCTTTGAGTTGTTTCTTGAAAAGTAATAATTTAGAGTATTTTTGTAGGCCTACAGAATTTACTGTACTATATCGACAGAATCTTTCAAATTTGTTTATCATCCTCTGACAATAGTTGGTGCCACAGGTGGAACTGCCAGTCATGTTTCTACCTCTGTGTTTGGGACACGGACACTTTTCATACATCCGAAACACTAGATGGCAGTACAAAACTTTAAACCTCTTATCAAACAGCAGCATGTGAGCGAGACGAGAACTCAAACAACAATGCTATTTGATCTCATTTTAAAACATAAGCAATGAAGTCTTTGTGGTGATTACGGGGCAGGATGGATAATTTCAGCGGACCGGTAAAAACAGACTGTGAAGAACTACTGGGTCGTTTTCAAGCGACCGAGTCAATTCGGTACGAGCAGTTTGTAGAGATCTGGAGAGGCATGGACTTCAGCAGCATCTTCCAGTGAGTTTGACATCGATGCCAGTGACAGTTTAATGTGAATCCTTTTAAATGAGATTAGAATCATCACATAAGAGAACTATATAAAGAACATGTGATACTGTGGCAAAACTCAAATTTCAGTTGCCCATACTTGTCTGTATATCTGAAAGTATTTCTTGTTGAATGTTCATTTTATTGTATATTATTATTATTATTATTATTATGAACATTACTGGCATCGTTTTCCCCGTCACTGCTTTTATTGTGTGTATTGATGCTTTAGTGCTAGGATTTTCAATCTTTTAGATTCCATGCACAGGCCCCCAAATATGATCTTGTATGAGGGGTTCCCATCCATCCCCTATTATGTTTGAAAAGTAATTTCTTTCTCTCTCCTCCTCTCTGCAGTGGTAAACCGGAGCCAAATGAGAGAAGGCGCTTTGCTCGTCTGATTCTGTCTGTGGTGGCTCCATACTTTTTTCCTCCCTACACGTTCCAGATCAGAGTGGGGGGCCTTTATCTGCTGTACGGCCTCTTCAACACACAACTCGCCACTCCCAGAGAGAAGGTGTGCTGTCACCCAGCATCTAATCATTCTGTCAACCTTCTGGGTCACTGTTTGTCTTAGTGTTTCTGTTTAGAATTGTTGTGTTCTGTTACTAGGGCCTGGGGTTATTCACTCCCATGTCATTCCAAAACCTGTATGACCTTTTTTGTTGTTCTGTGGAGCACAAAATATATTTTTGAGGTTTTTGGTCCTTACAACTTTTGTTTTGGACCTTGTTGGCTTTTATTGTATGGCCAAAACATCAATATATCTTCTTTATATTCCAAAGAAAGTCTTACAGGTTTTGAATGACATGACAGCAAATGAATTAAAACTCATGTATTGTCATTTTTTTAGCGGTTGTCTGTTTTATTGTGAATGTTTGGCTTTGTAGATCCGCATCGCTCTGAAGGACTGGAAGGATGTTATGCAGTTTCAGAAGGATGCATTGAATGCTAAACATTACGATGTGGTTTATGTCTTCAGAAAGCTCTTGTCCGATAAAGCTTTCTACTTCACAGCCATGCCAACACCGGTAGGTTAATAAGCTCAGTGCTTGTATATCTAAACTGGCTGCAAGACACAGTGTTACATAAACCACACAGTTTTGCCCAGATTTTTGCTGTGATTTGCCGTAAAGTCCTTCGTTTCAGTCACTTGCTGAATTAGTCAGTTTAATGTGGATATAGTCCCACCTTACACTGAATATACTGTTTCACTAGGATATGTCATGTAAGAGAAGTTACATGTTGACATTATTAAGCAGTGTTTTTTCTTTGCTGTGTGTGTCCGTACTGATGGAAACAAACTGATTTAACCTGAGTTTTCTGAACTCGGGCCAAAGGTGCTCATTGTACATGTTTACAGCTCAATTTCAGGATAAAGAGGGAAGATGGAAGGAAGAGGAAAATCTGTGAAGAGTTTGTTGATCCGCCATCACGTCCTCAGGAACTCGTCACCACAGATGTACTAGAGGTGATTCAACATAACAGCTTCAAGAGCTTCATTTTGTATTAAAATGTATCTCCTCCAGCATTTGTTTAAATACATTTCTGAATGTGTGAATGCTTTTTATAGCTGCTCTATGACGTTTAAACTCAGTGCTAAACATGAGCCAGGTTTAACACTGAGTGTCACTATGTTTGTCATGTCACTGATCAGTCAAAGACATGATTTAAATATTGGTCTTAATGAATTATGGCTATAACAAAACAAAATTTGCACTAAAAGTCATCCTGTAGAAACTGCATCTAATTTGTGATTTTTAAATGCAAATCTGTTTTATTTGACAATTACAAGTGTGATTAGGAGTTGCTTGTGAATGGGAAGGCTGTTTTGGTTAACAAGTCCAGTTGTATTTTTCCGCACCTTAGGAAATTGCAAATGTCCATGAGCATTATGAAGGTGTGAAGAAAGCCGTTTTCACTGAACCAGACCCAAACCTGAATATTGTACAACAAAACCTGGTTCCCAAACTAAACAGTGCCGTCTTCACTTATTCCAGCTGGCAGATGAATCGTGCAG